GGACGAAGAGAGAAGAGACAATTATTTCTCGTCTCAGATTTGGGCATACTGGGTTAAACAGCACTCTTATTATTTTAGGAAAACACTGCAGTAGTAAATGTGAGTACTGTGGAGCAGATGAGACAGTAGATCATGTAATGTTACACTGCCAAAAGTATGAGGAAGAAAGACAACAGTTGATTCAAAATTTAAATAAAATTAAAGTAAAACTAGACTTAATTGATTTATTCAGAAATAACTAATAGTAAAATTTATCAGATAATCTTTCATTATCTTAAATTAACACAGTTATTTAAGAGGATTTAATCCTTGAGTGACATTTTGGTCCACACTCCTCACCAGTCGGTGGCGGTAATGCACCAATTTTGTTGTTTGCCAACCGCCAATAAACCTCAAAGAAGAAGAAGTCTCAGGGTTCTGTTCAGCAGAGAGCATCATGAAGACCAAGGAACACACCAGGCAGGTCCGAGATACTGTTGTGGAGAAATTTAAAGCTGGATTTGGATACAAAAAGATTTCCCAAGCTTTTAGCATCCCAAGGAGCACTGTGCAAGCAATCATATTGCAATGGAAGGAGTATCAGACCACTGCAAATCTACCAAGACTCGGCCGTCCCTCTAAACTTTCATCTTGAACAAGGAGAAGACTGATCAGAGATGCAGCCAAGAGGCCCATGATCACTCTGGATGAACTGCAGAGATCTACAGCTGATGTAGGAGAGTCTGTCCATAGGACAACAATCAGTCGTACACTGCACAAATCTGGCCTTTATGGAAGAGTGGCAAGAAGAAAGCCATTTCTCAAAGATATCCATAAAAAGTGTTGTTTAAAGTTTGCCACAAGCCACCTGGGAGACCCACCAAACATGTGGAAGAAGGTGCTCTGGTCAGATGAAACCAAAATCGAACTGTTTGGCCACAATGCAAAACGATATGTTTGGCGTAAAAGCAACACAGCTCATAACCCTGAACGCACCATCCCCACTGTCAAACTTAGTGGTGGCAGCATCATTGTTTGGGCCTGCCTTTTGTCAGCAGGGACAGGGAAGATGGTCAGAATTGATGGGAAGATGGATGGGACCAAATACAGGACCATTCTGGAAGAAAACCTGTTTGAGTCTGCAAGAGACCTGAGACTGGGACAGAGATTTATCTTCCTACAAGAAAATGATCCAAAACATAAAGCCAAATCTACAATGGAATGGTTCACAAATAAACGTATCCAGGTGTTGGAATGGCCAAGTCAAAGTCCAGACCTGAATCCAATCAAGAATCTGTGGAAAGAGCTGAAGACTGCTGTTCACAAACGCTCTCCATCCAACCTCACTGAGCTCGGGCTGTTTTGCAAGAAAGAATGGGCAAGAATTTCAGTCTCTCGATGTGCAAAACTGATAGAGACATACCCCAACCGACTTGCAGCTGTAATTGCAGCAAAAGGCAGCGCTACAAAGTATTAAAGCAAGGGGGCCGAATAATATTGCACGCCCCACTTTTCAGTTTTTTATTTGTTAAAAAAGTTTGACACATACAATAAATTTCATTCCACTTCACGATTGTGTCCCACTTGTTGTTGATTCTTCACAAAAATAAAAATTTTATATCTTTATGTTTGAAGCCTGAAATGTGGCAGAAGGTTGAAAAGTTCAAGGTAAATGGACTGTACTTATACGCCTTTCTATCTGATCAAGATACTCAAAGCACTTTACACTACAATCTGTGCCTCATTTACCCATTCATACAGCACTCTACTAGATCTCTACAAATCTAATTGAACAAATCATTCTAAAGAGACTAATCAGAGCTTTATCACATTCATACACCGATGGGACACACATCAGAGGCTATGAGGGGTTCAGTGTCTTGCCCAGGGACACTTCGGCGTGTGACTGCTGGTGGATTCGAACCCCCAACTTTTGCATTGGAGGACAACTGCTCTAACCACTCAGCCACAGCCGCCCCAAGGTGGCCGAATACTTTTGCAAGGCACTGTAAATGAGTCCCCGAGGCTCAATGGGATTAGGCTGTATAAATGAAGGTTGAATGAAATAAAAGTAATGCATGTTTTTATTGTGTTTACCCTCTGTGACACAGTTCACACTTGGACTTGTGATTCTGTGCGTCGGAATTTCAGGAATGACATGCAGAGTTAAATGCCATTAGGCAAAATTAGAAAGAGGAATGATTATACCTTTAAAAGTTTTTATTTAACACAAAACAAAACCAATGTGTCATTTTAACTGCAGTAAACACATTTAAGAAAAATTTGTCTGCCTGAAAAAAGTTGCATTAGACACACCTAGCAAAGGAATAGTCACTGATCATGTCAACTCCAGTTTGTCATCAACTCTAGTTAAAATACTGTCTAGTCAACCTTGTAATGGGTCAATAGTGAACAATATTTTAACTTCCTGGCACCATTTTCAAAACCTGGACCCAAGTGTCGAGCCATTTGGAGACATCTCTTGTCTCCTGTCCTAACATCAGGAACTGACACATTTTAATATTGTGGCAAGAATTCTTTGTTCAAGTTCAGAAGAAATTAGTTTTCAAAGTTTTTTGAGTCCAGTCTGGCTCTTTTGGGAGAGAAAATATGTACTGCTGTACTGAGTAGTCTTTCATATGGTCTTTCAATAAGGCCATGGGTGGCACAAATCTTCTGGCTGACTCTCCACGGTGGAATTCATTTTAGGTGTGTTAGTGGTGCTGTGTGTTCACCCAGCAGCTCGATCATGTATATACCGTATTTTTCGCCATAAACGTTGCACGGCCGTATAAATTTCATCAGTCCAAATATGTCTAATAAAGTGGAAAAATCCATAAATATGCTTCGCCGTATACGTTGCATCTATTATGCATCACCGCTGACGCATCACTTTTGTTACGCGTCACTGCTGACAACCCAGAAGTGTGGGCCGGTGTTGTGCCAAAAATCGATTGGCTGCCAAATGGCAGCTACAAGAGTGTGCACGGGAGGACTTTAACAAGAATTTAACAAGATTAACACTTAAAAACAATTATCTGTTTGCTTGAAATTATAGCAAAGTTGTGTCTCAGTCTAACTTTTCCTTAATAAATGCACTTTGACGGTCAAATCAGCTGCATTTTCAAAAGCCGATATGCGGAAACATGAACGCGCAGAGAGCAACTCGCTGTCCATTTCTTTGAAATTTAACAAGATAACCACCTAAAAACAATTGTTTGTTTGCTCGAAATTATAGCAAAAGTGTGTTTCAGTTTAACTTTTCCTTAATAAATGCACTTCACTGGTCAAATTAGCTGCATTTCTCCAGGGCGGCGCAGCAAAATGAAGCTGATTTCACGGTTGCTCCTGGCAGATGACATTGGCAGGCTATTGCAAGCCGATTATCTCATTTAATAGCCATGTTTACCTATTACATGATACAATGGCATGGCTTAATGCTCAACTGCCATCTAACGGCTGAAAATGGTAGTATTAAATATTTTCTGTCAGAATGAATGAAAACAGTCATATCTCAGACAAAAATTGTTTTATAAATGTGGGAAATAATCCATAAATACGTAGCTTCTGCGTATAAATTGCAGCTCATACAAATTATGCAAAAAACTGTGACTTATAGGGCGAAAAGTACGGTACTAGAATATATGTCTTTGGCCCAGCTCTTCTTGAAGGCGGGTCTAACGTTACCATTGGTTACTTTCAAACTAACGAACAAATCAAAAAATTGCAACGTGAATGTAACTTTTAACGCAACACATTGTAGATATGTAGTGTAGAAAGTACATATACTTAATGTAAAATGTAGTGGAGTAAAAATCTAAAGTACCCATGTTTAACTCTACTTGAGTAAAGTACAGATACATGAAAAATGTACTTAAGTACAGTAACAAAGTACTTGTACTTCGTTACATCCCAGCATCTCTGCTATTTGCAGATGATCTTGTTGGCATCATCGTGCCGTGATCTTTAGCTTTCACTGGAGTGGTTCGCAGCCGAATGTGAAGCTAGGCACCAAACAGGCAGGCTATGACTGCCCCTTTTTCTGGTGTGAAGTTTGAATGCTCTGTGTGTGTGTGTGGGTGGGGGGGGGGGGGAGTTCTCCAGGTACTCTGGTTTCCTCCCACAATCCAAAAACATGAATATTAGATTAATTTGTAACTACATTGTCCCTGAGTGATAGTGTAAATGTTTGTTTGTCTTATGTGTCCCTGTGATGGACTGGAGACCTGTCCAGGGTCTCCCCTGCCTCTCGCAATGACTGCTGGATATGGGCACCAGTGACCCCCGTCACCTGAAAATGAAGAAGCAGGTGATGTATGTATGTATGTATGTACTTTGTATGTATGTATGTATGTATGTATGTATGTATGTATGTATGTATGT